TCCTCGGAACACGTAAATGAAGCTTCTCAAGCGAGAGCCGAAAAAATTCGAAAAATCACGATTTTTCGCTTTTCATACAAAGTCGATTCCCCAAAGTGTTTTGATAGTAATACTGCACCTACGGACCTGAGAGTTTGACTGGCAGACGCGGCATAACCCACTACAGGTGCGAAAATTTGGTTTCTCGAAATGAACTGTCAAATATATTTCTCAGATCTTAGAAAAAACCGACGCAAAGGTATCACATTGTCTTTTCTCGTCGGGTCGACCAACTTGCTCCAGCCCGCGCCAGAATTCCCCTAGCTCATCGATAACGGAGAGCTCTACGAGGTATATCTTTCAAATCTTAGCAGAACCGACCCAAAGTCGTCACATTGTCCGCCCGGGCCGGGTCGGCCGACTAGCTCCACCCCGGGCCGGAATTCCTCTAGCTCATCGATGCGGAAGTGCTCTACGAGGTATTGGCGCCGGCGGTGAACTGTCAACCTGGTCACCGCCGGAACCCTCGTAGAGCTCCTTCCACGCACTAGATTTCTCAGAATCGAAGCAAAGAGCTTCGGAGAAGATATTCTTAAAATCTTAATTTTGAAATTTTTGGTCTTCGTACGAGGTCGGTTCCAGGAAGTGAACCCATAGTAAAACTCCCTCTGTAGAGCTGAGATGTTGAGGGAACTTCGATGCGCATGCTTAGCGCAAAAATCTTCTTTCTCAGAATAAATGGTCTAATCTTTCAAATCTTAGCAAACCGACCCAAAGTCACCACTTTGTCCCCCCGGGCCGAGTCGACCAACTAGCTCCACCCTGCGCTGGAATTCTTCTAGCTCATCGGTGCCGAAGAGCTCTACGAGGTACTAGCTCTCCAGCGCCCCGGAATTACTGGGATCCGGCGGTAAACCGTCAACCAGGTAACCGCCGGGGGCCTCGTAGAGCTCTGTTCTCGCGCGGCGCTGCTCGGAGCACACGAAACATGCTTTCTCCAGCGTGAAGGACAAAGCTCGAAAAATACGTTTTTTTTTTTTTTTTTTTTTGGGGGGGGTTGCTCGAGTGCCAGACCGAGTTCAGACCTCTCGATGCGAGGAAAGAACGCGCCGGGTGATGCTGGATCGTTATATATGCGAACCAGCTCTGTAGCTATTCTAAATCTTCAGTCAAGGGAAACCGACAGCACCTGTAAAGATCACTCCTACAATGAGAATAGTTTTGCGGCTCTAGCTCGAGTAGCAGACCTAGTTCAGACCTCTCGATAAAACAGACGAACGCTCCTTATGATTCTAATGGGTTTCTGTAAGTATCAGCTCTATAGCTGCCTAGATCTCGAGTTAAGTACAGAAAACCGTCAACGCGTGTCAAGATGACTCGAAACGACCGACGGTTGCAGCATGGACCGTGTGGTTCGATAGTAATATTGCAGCTATGGACCTGACAATTAGACTGGCAGACGGCATAACCCACTACAGGTGGGAAAAATACCGGTTCTCAAAACGAATTTTGAAATTTTGCAGAAAGATAGAAAAAACGATCACAAGTCGCCACATTGTCTCTTTTGGTCGGGTCGGCCAACTGGGAGCCGGCAGTAAACCGTCAACCAGGTTAACGCCGGGAGCCTCGTAGAGCTCTTTTCTCGCATCACGCTGCTCGGAAGAATGGGAGAAGCTTCCCGACGCGTGAACGCAAAAACTTGAAAAAATACGTGTTTCAGTTCAACCGAAAGTCGGTTTCTTCAAGTGTTTTGGGAGTAATACTGCAGCTACGGACCTGAAAATTCTGCTGGCAGACGCGGCATAACCCACTACAGGTGCGACAATTAAGAGGAATTCGGGCGCAGGGTGGAGCTAGGTGGCCTACCCGACCTTACGAGACAATGTGATGACTTGGCGTCGATTCTCAATCTTTGTGCAAAATTTGAAAATTCGTTTTGAGAGCCGGTATTTTTCTCACCTGTAGTGGGTTGTTGCCGCGTCTGCCAGTTAAATTTTCAGGTCTGTAGCTGCAATATTACAATCAAAGATTCGAACCATCAGGCGCGTTCGTCTATTCCATCGAGAGGTCTCAACACTGTCTGCTACTTGAGCTAGATCGACAAAACTATTCTATTACTCGAGTCATTTTCACAAGTGCTGTTAGCTTCCCTTTCTGAACTCAAGATTTAGAGGAGCCACAGAGCTGGTGAGCACATAGGAAGATCGAGTATCAGTAGGCGCGTCCGTCTGCTGCATTGGGAGTCTGAAGACGGTCTGCTACTCCAGCTAGGTCCGGAAAGTTTTTCGTAATAGAAACGGAAGAAACGTATTTTTCGACTTTTTTCTTCGCGCCTGGGATTTTTTGTGTGTTTCGCAGCGACATTCGAGAAAAGAGCTCTACGAGGCTCCCGGCGTTTACCTGGTTGACGGTTTACCGCCGGATCGGAGTATCTCGTAGAGCTCTTCGGCATCGATGAGCTCGAGGAATTTCGCCGCGGGGTGGAGCTAGTACCTCGTGGAGCTTTTCGTCATCGATGAGCTAGGGGAATAACTCGCAGAGCTTCCCTTAGCTAGTTGCTGGAAGCTTAAGAGTAATTCCGGGGCGCTGGAGAGCTAGTTGGCAAGAAAAATCTCGACGAACCTTTTGATGACTTTTAGTAGATTAAAATTTTTGTTCTCGAAATAACTCGTGGGGCTTCCCTTAGCTAGTTGCTGGAAGCTTAAGAGTAAATCCGGGGCGCTGGAGAGCTAGTTGGCAAGAAAAATCTCGACGGACCTTTTGCTGACTTTTGGTCTTAACTCGAGCTCTAGGGTAGCTACAGAGCTGATACGCACAGACACCGATGCAGAATAATCAGGCGCGCTCGTCTGTTGAATCCAGAGGTCTGAACTCGATTTGCTACTCGAGCTAGGTTCGCGAAACTCTTCGTATTGTTGGAGTCATCTTGAGAGATGCTGTCGAATTTCGCACGTAACTCGGGCTCAGGAGAGCTACGGAGCTGGTACGCACAGACACTGATTCGGAATCATCATGCGCGTTCGTCTGTTGCATCCAGAGGTCTGAACTCGGTTTGCTACTCGGGCTAGGTCCGCATAACTATTCGTATTCTTCAAGTCACCTTTACAGATGTTGTCCCTTTTCTGTTTTGAACTCGGGTTGTAGGAGAGCTACAGAGCTGGTACGCGCAGAGAACGATCCAGAAGCATCAGGGGCGTTCGGCTGTTGCATCGAGAGGTCTGAAATAGCTCGGGCTGAAAAACTATTCGTGCTCTGCTATTTTTGACATAATATGTGGTCAGGAAGCTCTACGAGTCCCCCGGCGGTAAGAATGGTGGACGGTTTACCGCCGGCGCCCAGTTCCTCAATTCATTTGAGCTCTAGTATTTTTTCCCGTGGTATTCGATCTTATTCCCGCTCGCCGTCTTGATCTCAGCTCGATTGGGTACCTTTCACTGCCAAAAAGCACGCGGGCGGGATCGGCCGTTTGGGTCATCTTGACACGCAGTGGCGGTTTTCTGTACATAACTCGAGCTATAGGAGGGCTACTGAGCTGATACTAACAGAAAGCAGTTCAAAATGATCAGGCGCGTTTGTCTGTTGAATCCAGAGGTCTGAACTCGGTCTGCTGCTCGGGTTAGGTCCGCAAAACTAGTCGTACTGTTCGAGTGATATTGAGAGGTGCTGTCGGTTTTCTGTGCTTAACTCGGGCTGTAGGAGGGCTACTGGGCTGGTAATCCCAGAAACTGATTCTGAGACATCAGTCGCGTCCGCCTGTCGCATGCAGAGGTCTGAACTCGGTCTGCTACTCAAGCTAGATCCGAACAACTATTCGTGTCGCTCGAGTCATCCTGACAGGGACTCTCAGTTTTCTGTACTTAATCGAGCTCTAGGGGAGCTACAGAGCTGATTCGCACAGAAAACGATGCAGAATAGTATGGCGCGGTCGTCTGTTGCATCTAGAGATCTGAACTCGGTTTGCTACTCGAGTTACGCGAAACTATTCGTATCAATCGAGCCATCTTGAGAGGCGCTGTCGGTTTTCGCACGTAACTCGGGCTGTAGGGGACCTACAGACCTGATACGCACAAAAACTGATTCGAAATCGTCATGCGCGTTCGTCTGTTGCATCCGGAGGTCTGAACTGGTCCGCAAAACTATTCGTAGTCTTCGAGTCATCTTGACAGATGCTGTCCATTTTCTGTATTAAACTCGGTCTGTAGGAGAGCTACAGAGCTGATACGCAGAAACTGATCCAGAAGCATCAGAAGCGTTTGTCTGTTGCATTGGGAGGTCTGAACTCGGTCTGCTACCCGAGCTAGGTTCACACAGTTGTTCGTATTCGACCGATATTTTTTTCGAACTGATGGTGCATTTCTTCACTCAACTCGTGCAGCCGAAAATTCAGAAGGACATCGTGAGGCGCGAAGCATCTAGACGCTTGGTTTGGGTCTGTTGTGGGCGCAGACGCCAAACACGGATTCGCACTCTGCTACTTTCTCCCTAATTGACACGCTGCAGATGAGCCATAGACTTTTCAGCACAGCAATGGGATATCACTAGACAGATCAATCTGCTATCAGCTCAGCCTGAACAATTATTTGTTCTCTGCTAATTCTTTGGACATAATATATGGTCAGGAAGCTCTACGAGTCCCCCGGCGGTAAGAAAGGTTGACGGTTTACCGCCGGTGCCGTGTTCCGCCGCGGGGTGAATCTAGTTGGCCGACCCGACTAGAACGGACAAAGTCGTGACTTTTGGCTTGTTTTGTCAAGATTTGAAAGATTTTTCACCATTTATTTTGGAAAAGGAGATTTCTGCGCGTCGCATTGGCATATGAACTTCGTTTCCAGAGCAGCTCAGCTCTCTGCGTGCAGTTTTACTATCGGTTGAACTCCGGGGACCGACCGCATATGGATATCAAAAAATGCAAAGACATGAATGTCGAGAGAATCTCTATGGAAGTCTCTGCTTCGATTCTGAGCAGCCTGAGGCGTGCAAGTTGCTCTACGAGGTTCCCGGCGGTGACCATTTTGGCTCAAGCCATTTTGGCTCAAGGCTGGCTCAAGGTTGGCTCAAGCCGCATTGTGAGGACAGGTTTTTGTGCATACACACGTATCGTACTCAACTGTCCATCTTGTTATTGCTTGTGATTTGCCTTCTTCTCGTTGAGCGAGTCCACGTTTTATATATGGAGTTTGTTTCATCTGAATTGTCAGGCGCGGATTTTGTTGCTTCAGATTGGACAGATACGGCGTTGTTTACTTCCGAGTTTCTCGCATGTTTGTCTGCTCGTTTGTCTACGGTCGAAGTGTGTGGTAGTGATCTATATTGCCGTGTTCGCCCTTCGTGCGGAGGTGAGTCTCGCCTGCGCGAGACCAGCTGTATGGGCATGGTGTCAAAGTTTCTCAATAGAAGTTGCGCCGCCTGCGGGCGAAACGTACCAGGTATCGTTTGTGGTCCACGGCTCGGGGGCCAGATCCGTCGCGCCTTGTTCGCGCGGGCATTTGCGCGCCCAGATATTATCGGAATTTTTGCTCGGACGGTTCTGGGGAAGAGGAATGGGTTGAGGACACTTGTGGAACACTGACTGATATGGATGCTGTTGAATTGGCTGGCAACTCTTTGTGTTCGCAGTGTTCCGATTGTGGGACTCAGACAGATCCCTGTGTTCACATTGCGTGTGGGACTCAGACTGATCGTTGTGTTCTCTTTGTTGGTGAGGAGGAGAAGGAGGAGTGTCATCGAGTGCACGTTTATCGAGGTGATGCTTCCCTCAGAATGAAGAGATATTGATTCAAACGGGCGGAGGCTATGGAGAGTACGAAGTTGCGCACTTCAGAATTGCATGCGACCAGCGGGAGTGCGGTGGAGAGTACCGCAGTTTGGAGTTCAGTTGATGCAGTCGGGGGTCCCAGTGCAGTCGGGAGTTCAACAGTTCGGAGTGCAGTAGGAAGTTCCACAGTTCGGAGTTCCGCTGATGCAGTTGTTGATGCAGTTGGGAGTTCAACAGCTGGGAGTTCTGCAGTTGGGAGTTCAGCTGATGCAGTAGGGAGTTCCATGAATGGGAGTTCTGCAGATCGACCGAGTGAGACACGCTCTGAGTGCCAAGCTGCCAGGGACTGGGCCCTTGCCGGTGTCGATGTAAGGGCTCTTTGGCTTGAGCTACACCGACTCCCGACACAGGAGTTTCAGCGTAGGACTGAGGCTCTTAATGCATACAGGCTGCAATTGGGAATTGAAAGTTCCGAGGAGGATGATTCGCAACAAGGGGGTCCTCAGAGTTCTACTTCCAGGAGTGCATTGACGCGGAGCGGCAAGAAGCATCGGAAACGGCACAGATGATGCACATGTGATTGATCCTGCACGCATGTTGTGGTCTGCCCCCCCTCTCTTTCCCCCGCTGTTTCTGCCCCTGGGCTCGCTTTGGCTCTTTGGGCTTCTCCCGCTCTCCCGCTGGCTTTCCTTCCGCTCTCCGCTGACTGGTCTCATAAGAGGATTGGGGCAGCTCCTATCGGGGCAGGTGCATGGGCCACTTGCTTTGATTGTACTTGCTGCATTGGCACGTTTCTTCTCTTCTGCTTACAATTACTCGTGAGTTTTGATCGACGCTACAGTTGCCTCAAAGTAGGTCGATTGTATGTGAGCTCGATTGTATGTGCAGCTTTTTGCATTCTTGTATTTGTGTTTACATATGTGGTTTCACTGCAGTGATGCTGAGACGGTAATCGTTATGTGGTTACTGCATGGTCTTGCATTGCTTTCACTATTTAGTTCAATTTAGTTGACTCTTAGTGTGATTTACGCTCTTGGGCCATTGCTGTGCAGCTTCGCTGTTAGTGCGCTCAGCGTTTTGCTCTCAGGCTCAGTTCTGAGTTGTTTTGTGTTTCGGTCTGCCTCCGTGGAGGCTCGAATCGACCGTCCGCAAAAGACCGCAAAATACCAGGTTGACGGTTTACCGCCGGCGCCAGTTGGTCGACCCGGCCCGGGCGGACAATATGTTAACTTTCGGTCGGTTTTGCTGAGATTTGAAAGATATTTGACCATTTATTTTGAGAAAGCAGATTTTTACGCCGAGCATTTGCGTATAAACTTCTCTCTGACAGCAGCTGAGCTCTCCCGATGTATTTTATCAAGAGTTGACTTCTGGGAACCGAGCCAATATAAACATCGAAAAAATCGAAAGTCAAGATTTTTGGAAAATCTGTATTTTATGATGCTACTTTGATTCTGAGCACTCTACCCAGTGTAAGGAGCTCTACGAGGTCCCCGGCGGTGACCACGTTGCTGCTGTCCCTCCTCGGGCTCTCGGCGGCGACCTGGCCCGTCAGAGGCCTCCTCGAGCGGCATTGTGCCGTGCCTGGTGTTTGTTCTCTTTACCGTGCACGGTGCTTCAGTGTCTGTTTTGCCTGAGTACCGTACACTCTCATTGATTGTTGGAGTACGATACACTTCATTGATTGACGAAGGCCTGTCCACGCCCATTGTCGTCGGAGTGCACATTGCTGTTGAGATTGTCGGAGTATCGTTGGAACAGCATTTTCCTTGGTTATCTCAACTGTCCGTCTAGTTATTGCTCATTATTTGCCTTCTTCTTGTTGAGCGAGTCCACGTTTTATATATGGAGTTTGTTTCATCTGAATTGTCAGGCGCGGATTTTGTTGCTTCAGATTGGACAGATACGGCGTTGTATACTTCCGAGTTTCTCGCCTGCTTGTCTGCTCGTTTGTCTACGGTCGAAGTGTGTGTTCGTGATCTATATTGCCGTGTTCGCCCTTCGTACGGAGGTGAGTCTCGCCTGCATGAGCGAGACCAGCTGTATGGGCATGGTGTCAAAGTTTCTCAATCGAAGTTGCGCCGCCTGCGGGCAAAACGTGTCAGGTATCGTTTGTGGTCCACGGCTCGGGGGCCAGATCCGTCGTGCCTTGTTCGCGCGGGCATTTGCGCGCCCAGATATTATCGGAATTTCTGCTCGGACGATTCTGAGGAAGAGGAATGGGTTGAGGACACTTGTGGAACACAGACTGATATGGATGCTGTTGAATTGGCTGGCAACTCTTTGCGTTCGCAGTGTTCCGATTGTGGGACTCAGACAGATCCCTGTGTGCACATTGCGTGTGGGACTCAGACTGATCTTTGTGCTCTCTTTGTTGGTGAGGAGGAGAAGGAGGAGTGTCATCGAGTGCGCGCTGATCAGGGTGATGCTTCTGCAGTTGGGAGTTCCAGTGCAGTCGGGAGTTCCAAAGTTCGGAGTGCAGTGGGAAGTTCCACAGTTCGGAGTTCCGCTGATGCAGTTGTTGATGCAGTTGGGAGTTCAACAGCTGGGAGTTCTGCAGTTGGGAGTACCGTGGTTTGGAGTTCGGCTGATGCAGTAGGGAGTTCTATGACTGGGAGTTCTGCTGTTGCAGTTGGGAGTTCAACGGAGGCTGACCACAGGATTCGGTCAGATTCTGTGGTTGGGAGTTCTGCAGTTGCGGAGATGGAGCTGGTGGGGGTGGCGGAGGAGGATTATGTTCATGAAGTTTCCACGGCAGTTGCTAAGATGGACTTGCAGGAGAAGGAGGTGATGGAAGAGGATGAGGATGACTTGCAGCACAATCAAGCACCTGACGTAATGGTTGATGTTGAAACAGCAGTGGAGCTCGTGCCAACAAACCGGCGGATCAGAAAATATTGCTTTGAACGGCCGATTGTTACGGACAGGCAGGCTATTGCCTCCGCCTGGCAACAGTGGCAATGTGGTTTGGATCCCGAGGCGCTCTGTAGCAGTGCTCCAGACAGTAAACCTCTTATATACACGGACCCCCACACATTCCAAGCGTTGAATATGCTTCAACGTCTTCTGGGCAGTGGCTACTCCCATGCGGATATCTCGTACTTTGAGGGCTGTCTGGTTGCAGCGGGCTGGGATGAGGAGCTCGGTGTAAACTCCGTTTCCTGTATAGAGTCACTTCCGCGGGGATGTGGTGGACGGTGGAGGAGTTGCTGCAAAAATCGGGCCACGGTGTGGCATGCTTTGCAGTGCAGCGAGGTCTGGGATGGTGCTTTCCACGATGAAGAGCTCATGCGTGATTTTCTTGAGTCGGTCGTTTCTCGTCTAAGACGTGATGGGCCGAGGATCTGGGAAGACGTTCGGCAAAGTTAGATGCGCTGACTGGTCTCATGAGAGGATTGGGGCAGCTCCTATCGGGGCAGGTGCATAGGCCACTTGCTTTGATTGTACTCGCTGATTTTCACTTTGTTTCATTTTCTTACCTGCATTCTGACCTTTAATCTCTTGTACATTCTCAGTGGTGTTGAGACGGTAATCGCTGTATAAACCAGTGGTTACTGTATGGTCTCTCACTGCTTCTATTCCTCTTTACATTTTTAGTTGTTTTCGCGTATACTTGCAGTCTTGTGCATATCTGTACAGCTTCGCTGTTGATGCACCTCTGCTTTAATCTTTGCAGCTTCGCTGCTTAGGTTCTTTGTGTTTAGGCCTGCTCCCATGGGAGCTCGAACCGGCCTTCGAAAAAGACGCAAAAGACCAGGTTGACGGTTCACCGCCGGCGCCAGTTCCGGGGCGGTGGAGGGCTAGTTGGCAAGAAAAATCTCGACGGACCTTTTGCTGACTTTCGGTCGGTGGAAAATTTTGTTTTCGAAATTCCTCAATTCGTTTGAGCTCTAAGTTTTTTCCCATGATATTCGATCTTATTCCCGCTGGCTGTCTTGATGTCAGCTCGATCGGGTTCCTTTACTGCCAAAAAGCACACGGGCGGGATCGGCTGTTTCAAGTCATCTCGACAGGTGTTGTCCGTTTTTTGTACTTAATTCGAGCTATAGGAGAGCTACAGAGCTGATGCTTACAGAAACCAATTCAGAATGATGAGGCGCGTTTGTCTGTCCGATCAAGAGGTCTGCACTCGGTCTGCTGATCGAGCTAGATCCGTAAAACTATTCGTATTGTTCGAGTCGTCTTGAGAGATGCTGTCGGTTTTGTGCACTTAACTCGGGCTGTAGGGTGGCTACATGGGCTGGTAATGACAGAAACCGATTTGGAGACATCAGGCGCGTTCGTCTGTCGCATGAAGAGGTCTGAACTTGGTCTGCTACTCGAGCCAGGTCCGCAAAACTATTCAAATCGCTCGAGTCATTTCAACAGGTACTGTCGGTTTTCTGTACTTAACAGAATAATCAGGCGCGTTCGTCTGTTGCATCCAGAGGTTTGAACTCGATCTGCTACTCGAGCTAGGCTCGCGAAACTATTCGTATTGTTCGAGTGATCTTCGGAAGTGCTGTCGATTTTTGCACGTAACTCGGGCTGTGGGAGAGCTACAGAGCTGATATGCACAGAAACTGATTCGGAAACATCATGTGCGTTCGTCTGTTGCATCCAGAGGTGTGAACTGGGTTTGCTACGCGGGCTAGGTCCGCAAAACTATTCGCATTCTTCAAGTCACCTCGACAGATGTTGTCCCTTTCCTGTATTGAACTGGGCTGTAGGAGAGCTACAGAGCTGGTGCGCGCAGAAAACGATCCAGAAGCATCAGGGGCGTTCGGCTGTTGCATCGAGAGGTCTGAAATAGCTCGGGCTGAAAACCGATTCGTTCTCTGCTATTTTTTCGACGTGATATATGGTCAGGAAGCTCTACGAGTCCCCCGGCGGTAAGAAAGGTTGACGGTTTACCGCCGGCGCCCAGTTGGACCACCCGGCCCGGGCGGACAAAGTGTTAACTTTCGGTTTTGCTCAGATTTCAAAGATATTTGACCATTTATTTTGAGAAAGCAGATTTTTCGCACCTGTAGTGGGTTATGCCGCGTCTGCCAGTTAAATTCTCAGGTCCGTAGATGCAGTATTACTATCAAACACTTGGAGGAACCGACTTTGAATGAAAACCGAAAAATCGTGATTTTTCGAGTTTTTCGGCTCTCGCTTCAGAATCTTCCTTCATGTGTTCCGAGGAGCGCTGTGCAAGAAAAGAGCTCTACGAGGTGCCCGGCGGTGACCTGGTTGACGGTTTACCGCCGGTTCCCAGTTCTGAGAAAGTAGATTTTTACGCCGAGCATTGGCATATGAAATTTGTTCCCAGATTACCCCAGCCCTCCAGAGCCAGTTTTACAATCGAAAAATTAGGAGCAACCGACATCGAGTTGACAAGGAAAAATTCAAATTCAACGTTTTTTCTAGAAATGCTCCGATAAGCTCTCTGTTTTGAAATCTAAGCACTCTTCGCTGTTTGATGCACCTCAATCTTTGCAGCTTCGCTGTCTTCCTGTACAGCTTCGCTGTTTAGGTTCTTTGTGTTTAGGCCTGCTCCCATGGGAGCTCGAACCGGCCTTCGCAAAAGACGCAAAAGACCAGGTTGACGGTTCACCGCCGGCTCCCAGTCTAGAAGAGGTACAGAGCTGGTACGCACAGAAACCGGTTCAGAATGATCAGGCGCGTTAGTATGATGCATCCAGAGGTCTGAATTCGGTCTGCTACTCGAGCTAGGTTCGCAAAGGTACTTGTATTCTTCGAGTGATTTTGACACGTGCTGTCAGTTTTCTGTACTCAACTCAACAGTCAGAAGAGCTACAGAGATGGTACCCACATAAACCAATTCAGTATCACCAGGCGCGTTCGTCTTTTGCATCGAGAGATCTGAACTTGGTCTGCTACTCGAGCTAGGTCCGCAACGCTATTTCTATTTCTCAAGTTTTCTGTGCAGACGCTGTCAATAGTCTGTACGTAGCAGAGCTACAAAGCTGCTACGCACAGAAACCGATCTATAATCATCAGAGTTTTGCTGTGGCATCTAGAGCTCCCGACACAGTCTTCTACTCGAGCTAGGTGCGGAAAACTAATCGTATTCGACCGATTGTTTTTCGAAATGATGGTGAATTGTTTGACTTGAATCGAGCTGCAGATGAGTTTCAGAGCTCTTCCGCACATAACAAAAATCATGAGGCGCGATAGTCTGGGTCTGTTATGAGCGCAAGACGCCGAAGAACTAGTCATATTCTGCTATTTTTCTGTGATGGAAGTCGTTTCCTGAACTCGAGGTGCCGATAAGCTTCAGAGCTCTTAGGCATTGCAATCGGAAGATAATGACTATGCGCGCTATTTGAAAGTATCTCGACTCCCACACTCAGTCTGCTATTAGCGCTGGGGAAGAACACTGATTTGTACTGTGCTACTTTCCGGAAATGGTATTGTTTTCTTGGTTTTACTCGTGCTGCAGATCAGCTACAGAGCATCAGAGGCAATAGTGTAATGTATCTAGACGTCTCAGATCATGTGTTATCATCGCGCAGGCTTAAAGATATACCTCGTAGAGCTCTTCGCCAAGATGAGCTAAGAGGAATTCGGGCGCAGGTTGGAGCTAGTTGGCAGACCCGACCTTAAGAGACAATGTGATGACTTGGGGTCGGTTTTTCTATCTTTGTGCAAAATTTATTCGTTTGGAGAACCGGTATTTTTCCCACCTATAGTGGGTTATGCCGCGTCTGCCAGTTAAATTTTCAGGTCCGTAGCTGCAAAACAACTATCAAAAAGACTTGAGGGAACCGTTCGCCGTTTTGAGTCATCTTGACATGCGTTGACGGTTTTCTGTCCTTAACCCGAGAGTTAGGACAGCTACAGAGCTGATACTTACAGAAACCAATTCAGAATCATCAGGCGCGTTCGTCTGTTCCATCGAGAGGTCTGAACTCGGTCTGCTACTCGAGCTAGATCCGCGAAACTATTCGTATTATACGAGTGATCTTGAGAGGTGCTGTCGGTTTCCCTTGACTGAAGATTTAGAAGAGCAACAGAGCCGGTACGCATATAAACCGATCCAGTATGACCCGGCGCGTTCTTTTCTCGCATCGAGAGGTCTGGCACTCGCGCTAGATCCACGAAGCGAAGATGCAACATGAAAAAACCGTATTTCTGAGCATTTATCTTCACACTTCAGAAAGCTTTTTCCGTGTGCTCCGAGCAGCGCCGGGCGAGAACAGAGCTCTACGAGGCTCCCGGCGCCTACCTGGTTGACGGTTTACCGCCGGATCCCAGTTCGTTTTCTGCGAATTATTTGGACATAATAAGAGGAATTGGGGCGCAGGGTCAAGCTAGTTGGCAGATCCGACCTTAAGAGACAATGTGGTGACTTGGGGTCGGTTTTGCTGAGATGCGAAAGATTTTTGACCTATTCATTTTGAGAATCTATATTTTTCTCACGTGTAGTGGACCATGCCGCGTCTGCCAGTCCAATTTTCAGATGCGTAGATGCAATGTTACCACTAAAACGCAGTATTACTATCAAAACACTTGGAGGAACCGACTGTGTTCCGAGTCATCTTGACACGCGGTTTTATGTACTTTACTCGAGATTTCGGAGAGCTACAGAGCTGATGCTTACAGACACCGATTCAGAATCATCAGACGCGTTCGTCTGTTGCATCTAGAGTTCTGTACTCGGTCTGCTACTCGAGCTAGGTCCGTACAACTTTTCGTATTCTTCGAGTCTTTTTGACCAGTGATGCCATTTTTCTGTATTCAACTCAAGGTTTAGAGGAGCTACAGAGCTGGTGCACACATAAACCGATTCAGTATCACCAGGCGCGTTCGTCTGTTGCATCGAGAGGCCTGAACTCGGTCTGCTACTCGAGCTAGGTCCACGACGCTATTCGTATTTCTCAAGTTCTCTTTACAGGCGCTGTGGGTATTCTGTACTTAACTCGAGCTGTCGGTGAGCTAGCGAGCTGGTGCGCACATAAGCCGATTCAGAATCATCAGGGGTCCGGCTGAAGCATCTAGAGCACTGACCAGAGTCCGCTACTCGAGCTAGATCCGCAAAACTATTCGTATGCGACCGTTTTCTTTGAACTGGTGGTGCAATTTTTCACTTAACTCGAGCTGCAGATAAGCTTGAGAGCTCTCCCGCGCAGAAATCCGAATTAAACATATCTTTCTCACAAGTGTCTGCCAGTCCAATTCTCAGGTCCATGCAATGTTACTATCAAGGGAACCGACGCTGGATGAAAACGGAAAAACGTATTTTTCGAGCTTTTTTCTTCACGCTTGAGAAAGCTTTTTCCGTGTGTTTCGAGCAGCGCCGCGCGAGAAAAGAGCTCTACGAGGCTCCCGGCGGTTCCCTGGTTGACGGTTTACCGCCGGATCCCAGTTATGTTCAATGAACTTGCAGAGAAAGAATAGTTTTTCTGCCCGAGCGCTGATAGCAGACTGATCGCAGGCGTCTAGTGATACCCCATTGCTGTGCTGAACAGTTCTATAGCTCATCTGCAGCGTGTAGAAAATACCATTCGGGAGAAAATAGCAGAGTACGAATCCGTGTTTGGCGTCTGCGCCCACAACAGACCCAAACCAAGCGTCTAGATGCTTCGCGCCTCATGATGTCCTTCTGATTTTTCAGCCGAAGAGCTCTCGAGCTGCTCTGCAGCTCGAGTTCAGTGAAGAAATTCACCAATATTTGGAAACATATCGGTCGAATACAACTAGTTTTGTGAACCTAGCTCGGGTAGCAGACCGAGTTCAGACCTCTCGATGCAACAGACGAACGCTCCTAATGCTTCTGGATCGGTTTCTGTGCGTACCAGCTCTGTAGCTCTTCTACAGCCCG